GAAACGTTTCTATCGGTTGCAGAAGAGTTTTATTGATGCGGTGTCGTTTTACTACTAGCTAATTGTAATAGCAGTTAGCCGTTTAATTTACTGTTTAATCTTCAAATTGTGAAATGGAGAGCAGCCAAGTGGCATGCGCCAGTAATCCATTCTGTCTTTGTTTTCTGCTGGAGTATATAATGAAATGGAGAATCTCAGAGACTGCTGAAGATTACTCCTTCCATAAAACCCTTGCTAAGTTTTCTCTTATGGTATCAGAGCGGCCGCTCTAAGGGATTCCGCCATGTCAGGAACTAGCTCACCGTCACCCAACACGCCGCCGAACACCGGCAACGGAGCTAGAGCCATCGATCCACACAATGTTCAGTTTGGGTCGTTTGGAGCTGAAGGAAACACTGGGCTCTCAGGCAACACAGAGGTGATAATGTTTGGTAATCCTCTCTACCTGAACCCTAATGAGAATCTGAGCCTACCCATCGTTTCTGAGTTGATGGATGGTAACAACTATAGCATGTGGAGTAGATCTGTAATGAATGTCTTGAAAACAAAACACAAAATGGGTTTTGTGGATGGGTCTCTGCCCAGACCAGCTGTTCATGATCCGCAATTTCATCTATGGGATGGTTGCAACACTGTTGTGCTTACATGGATTTTGAATTCACTGAACAAGGATATAAGGCGTTCAGTGATGAGGCATGATAATGCCAAAGTTCTGTGGGATGAGTTAAGGCACAGATTTGGTCAGTTGAATGCCAACAGGCTCATCAACTTGGAAGACGAGATACACAAATGCAAGCAGGGAACTCAAAGTATAACTCAGTATTATACCCAAATCAAAAGCTTATGGGATGAGTATACTGAATATAACCCCATTGTGGCATGTAATTGCCTTCCAGGAAACACTAATCCATGTAAAGCTGTTGAAGCTTTTGAGAGAAAACAGGAAACAGACTATCTAATTCGTTTTCTCAGAGGTCTAAATCCTGATTTTGAGATCATCAAGAAGCAGCTGCTGATGCTAAAGCCTCTACCAACTGTTACCATAGCAGTTGATGACTTACTACAGTATGAACAAGAGCTGAAGGCTCATGGAGGAACTAAGAAAGGGCAATCAGTTGCCTTGGCTGTTGGAGGAGAAGGACCACGAGACAATGAGGCAACAGATCAGAGTTCAGGGAAGAAGTTATGTAGGTTCTGCAAGCGCACCAATCACTACATTGAAGAATGCTGGAGGTTGAAAAAGAAGAAAGAAGCTGGAGAGAAGGAAGGTAAAAGTCAACCAGGGAGCCAGGGATTTGCAGGATCAGTGTCTCAAGGGAGTTCCAGTGGGAGTGAAAATCCTACAGAAGCAAGCTACACAAGTGACACTGGCACTGGAAGTGGATCCACACTTGGCTTTACACCTGAGGAAATGGCTAGATTGAGGTACATGTTGCAGGCTGGTTCTAATCAGCCACCCATACCCAATTCCTCACCTTCCATTCGACACCAAGCCTTTTCTGTGTCCCAGTATTTACCACCATTCCCAAACTTTGAAGGTAAATATGTCATGTCCTCCTTAGCAAGTGTCAATAGCAATCACTTAGTCAACTTTTGGATCCTAGATACAGGTGCATCTGACCACATTGCATGTTCTCTAGCTTTATTCATTGATTATAAGCGAGTCCATGACACTTTTGTGCACCTGCCAAACACCACAAAGGTTCCAGTAACTCATACAGGAACTGTAAAACTTCCAACAGGGTTGCATTTATACAATGTAATCCTGGTTCCTAGTTTTTCCTTTAATCTAGTGTCAGTCAGTAGGCTCACTCATGACTTACCCTTAGCCTTACACTTCCATTCTGATCTTTGCCAAATTCAGGACCTACTGAGCAAGACGATGATTGGTTTAGCAAAAGAATCTAGAGGACTGTACCAGCTCAGTTTTTCAAGCTCTTCACTCACACTTCCAGTCCACCTACCACAAGCTTCCAGTGTCTACAACTTTCACCCTCACCAAGTTGATCTCTGGCATTGGAGGCTAGGACATCCTAGTAGTGATAGGCAATCCTTAGTACACAAACTAGATTCTACTGTTTCTATTTCAAAATCAGAATAGTGTAATGTCTGTCATCTTTCTAAACACAAGAGACAACCATTTCCTATTAGTACCAGTACTACAACAGAACCCTTTCAGTTGATACATATCGACATTTGGGGTCCTTTATCATTTGTTTCCTATGATGGTTATGTCTATTTTTTAACTGTGGTTGATGATTGCACAAGAGCAGTGTGGGTGTACCTTATGAAACACAAAAGTGAAGCCAGAGATTTGTTCAAAGGCTTCTGTCAATTGGTTAAAAATCAGTTTGGCACAACTGTTAAAACAGTAAGAAGTGATCAAGGAAAGGAATTTGATATGTGTGACTTTTACATGGCTGAAGGAATAGAGCACCAGATGTCCTGTGTGTATACCCCAGAGCAGAATGCTAGGGTAGAAAGGAAGCATCATCACATTTTAAATGTGGCTAGATCACTCAGGTTTCAATCTGGAATTCCATTACTTTACTGGAGTGACTGTATAATGCATGCAGTTTACCTTATTAACAGAATCCCTACACCAATTTTACACAACAAGTCGCCATATGAGGTCTTGTACAAGAAAGCTCCTTTCTTAGGCCATTTAAGGGTTTTTGGTTGTTTGGTGTATGCTAGTACAATAGCAGCAGGGAGATCTAAATTTGATCCCAGAGCCAGGCAGTGTGTACTACTTGGCATTCCTTTAGGCCTTAAAGGATACAAGCTTCTTGATCTCAAAGATAACCAAGTTTTCATTTCTAGAGATGTGGTGTTTCATGAATCTATTCTGCCTTTTAGACATGATTCCCACACTACTGTTCCTTCTTTTGATCCTACCACCTCACCTCAAATTCCCATCCCAACTTCTCATCCACCAGTTCATGCTCCTGGTCTAAGCCTACCTCCAACTCTTCCTACACCTGTATCACCCTCTGCTGATGGGGGGCACTATACACCTCCTACAACAGAAGAGCCTGAAGCTGAGCCTATGAGTGATGACACAACAGCTGAGCCTTATATTCATCAAGATTTTGAAATGGAAGTTGAGTTAGAACCTGAGTTAGAACCTCAACAGGATTTTGAACCATCCAAGAGACCACAAAGGTCTCATAAACTACCTGCTAAGTTTGACAATTGTGAATTAGATCCAGATCTGAGTTTTGGTGCTTTTGGTTCTTGTGGAGAAGCTTCTAAGTATCCTATTGAGTTTGATTTGGATCACTTGAATGCTGCTGATAAAGCTTTTGCACTGAGTGTCATCTCACAGATTGAGCCAGCTACATTTTATGAGGCAATGCAATCAGATGTGTGGAATAGGGATGTACAAGAGGAGTTAGGTGCCTTGGAACAGAACCAAACTTGGGATGTGGTAAAGTTGCCAGATGGAAAGAAAGCCATTGGCTATAAGTGGGGTTTTAAAATCAAAAGAAGAGCAGATGGCACTATAGAGAGGTTTAAGGCTAGGCTGGTGGCAAAAGGGTATACTCAGGTCTATGGAATTGACTTCCTAGACACCTTTTCCCCAGTAGCTAAGATAAACTCAGTGAAAGCATTACTTGCTGTGGCTGCAGTCAAAAATTGGACATTAGAACAATTAGATGTATCTAATGCCTTCCTACATGGGGACTTAGAAGAAGAAGTGTACATGAAAATACCAATGGGACTTGATCTAAATGGTATTGATCCAAGAGGAATGGCTTGCAGGCTGAAGAAATCACTGTATGGGCTTAAACAAGCATCAAGACAGTGGTTTGCAAGGTTGACAGGTTTTCTATTGAAGAATGGGTTTGCTCAATCAGCTTCAGATTACTCTTTATTCACTAAATGGGTGCATGGCAGAATTGTGGTACTGCTAGTGTATGTTGATGACATCACCATAGGAGGAGATGCACCAAAGGATATAGAGCAGATCAAGAAAGCATTGAGTAAAGAGTTTAAGATTAAACTGCTAGGACCTCTGGAAATATGCCTAAGAGCTGCTGAAAGACACTGGATATTTAGAAGCAAAAGGATGCATCACACCTTCAGACCCTAAAGTGAAGTTAGCAGCAAATCAAGGAACACCTCTGGAAGATGCAGAAGTCTATAGAAGGTTGATTGGAAGGTTGCACTATGTGACAATCACCAGACCAGACTTAACATACATAGTGCAACAGCTGTGTCAATTCTAGAAACAGCCTTGTAGTGATCATCTACAAGCAGCCTTCAGGGTGTTAAGGTACTTGAAGAACAATCTTGGTCAAGGCATACACTTTTGCAGCAAGGCAGACTTGAAGCTGGTGGGGTTTACAGACTCAGATTGGGCCAGTTGTCCAGACACAAGAAGGTCTACAACTGGATACTGCACCTTTCTGGGAAGTTCCTTGTTGACTTGGAAGAGTAAGAAGCAAACTACTCTATCCAGATCTTCATCAGAGGCTGAGTACAGGGCACTAGCTTTGCTGGTTTGTGAAGTTGAATTGTTGAAAGGTTTATTGGCAGAATTGAGTGTTAAAGTTCCTCTGCCTATCTCAGTCTACTGTGACAACAGGTCAGCGATACACATAGCAGAGAACCCAGTATTTCATGAAAGGACAAAGCATATAGAAATTGAAATGCATGTGACCAAAGAAGGAATCAAAAATGGGTTGATCAAGCTCCACCATGTAAGTACTTACAACCAGTTGGCTGACTTGTTTACGAAAGGGCTGGATAGAGCGCGAATGCAGGCATTGTTGGTCAAGTTGGGAGTCAGAGTGACTGCCACAACTTGAGGGAGGCTGTCAGGATTCTAAATCCAGTTTGCAGAAGAAATGCAGAGAAGAAGAACAGAGTCGTGGAAGAAGAAGAAGGGCGAAACGTACAAGAAGGAGGAAACGTTTCTATCGGTTGCAGAAGTGTTTTATTGATGCGGTGTCGTTTTACTACTAGCTAATTGTAATAGCAGTTAGCCGTTTAATTTACTGTTTAATCTTCAAATTGACAAATGGAGAGCAGTCAAGTGGCATGCACCTGTAATCCATTCTGTCTTCGTCGACTTCTCGTCCTTCTTTGCAGTCGCTATTGAACCAATAGTAACTTCCGCCGAAATAGGCGTTGTCGAGGGAGGAAGCACTGAAAAGAGAACTTGTTTCCCGCTTCTGGGTTGTATCCTTCTTCTTCTTCTTCTTCTTCTTCTTCTTGCTTTCCACCCTCTGTTTTTGGGTACTCTGTTTTTTCTGGTAGTAAGATAGGGCCAGGGGAGAAGTAGGGGACACTGCAATCTGTTTCGGCTCAGCCCCGGTCTTTTACTCGTCCTTGCAGACAACGCATTGATTCATCTCGGAATTCAGGGCCTCGCCCGTGATCTTGACGGTAGGGAGGGCGTCGATGGCCGATTTCAAGGCGGGAGGGGTTCCGTAGCGGTTGGGGTCGCTCTCGGCCAGCTGCTGGATCAGTTGCTTGAGGCCCGGACCGATGAAGTAGTGGCCGGAGGAGGAGCTTCGAAAGAACCTCTTGGACGGCCGCATGCGGGGTCCATCTCGATGTAACTGGAGGCGGCCGAGTACTCGTCAGCAGCGGCGTCCAGTAGGGTTTCGAAAGAGGGTTTGAGGCTGGCGGCGAGCCAGCTGTAGGAGCCGCTCTCGATCGAGAGCGGCTGCTGCTGCTGAGAGGTTTCCATTTTTTTCAGAGAAAGAGGGGAAATTGGGAATTTGTTGGGAGTGAAGTGAATTCGTGGTTGGATTTGTGGGATTTGGTTTATATATAGAGAGTCAGAGAAAGGGGTACAGAGAGTCAGAGATTCCGCAATTTATTATTTATTTTTGTGATATTTGGTATGTAGTGGGATGGGTACCAAAATTATGTGCATGTATGCAACACTATTGTTATAACGAAATGAGAAATTGACAGTATAAAGAAGTAAACAACATCCAAATTTTTATTTTTTAATGAATGTAATAATGAGATGGAAAATATTAAATTTTTTTTAATAATTTTTTAGTTGTCACGTCACTAAGTTAACGGTCAACTTTGAGAATTGACTGCCACATCAGCTATTTTTATTTTCACTAGCTTTCTTAATTGACTCATATCTTTTTCGTTTTTAACTCGGATTTTAATTTTTTTTGCACAGATGGAACGAGTTCACCGTGCTCTACAAAATGAGATCAATTTTCAATATTTTTTGAGAAAAAAAAATTCTGGCCTCTCGGTACCAACTGCATACCATATGGTATCTTCTTCGTTTTTAATTCGTTTTTGAAAACGTTTGCACAGCAGGGACGAGTTCATCATGATCTACTAGATCTACAAATTTCTGGGTGAACAAATTACAGGACCAAAAAATACCACACAATACCATACAATACCACCCTGGTACGGGGTGGTATTGTATGGTATCTTCTTCGTTTTTGAAAACGCTTGCACAGAAGGGACGAGTTCATCATGATCTATTGGATCTACAAATTTCTGGGTGAACAAATTACAGGACCAAAAAATACCACACAATACCACCCTGGTACAGGGTGGTATTGTGTTGTATACAATGTTAAAAGTCGTAAATTACAATTAATATACTTCTACTATCATGTATTCAACCATCCTATAGTTTGGTTTGTTCATACCACCATGGTACGTTTTTCAAAACATAGGTATGCTTTTATTTCAATACCAGTCAATACCATATGGTATAGGCTGGTAAAAAAGGCTCAATTTTTTTTGTTCGAAAAATATATTAAAGTGGATATCATTTTGAAGAGCACAATTAATCTGATCTAACTGTGCAAAAAAAATTAAATTTCGACTTAAAATGAGCGAGAAATCGTCCGTCAAAGATTAAAGAGGGAAAAATTAAAGGCTTTCTATGAGAGAGAGGATGCTGATGTCATGCTGATGTGGACGGGTTACTCATGGTTACTCACCATAAGGTTACTGACCTGATCCATTCCCCATCAGAATAGGGTGTAGAACAAACCCTATTAGTCTATTTAGGTAACTAATGTAAAATTACTAACACTACCTAAATAAACTAAGTCGTCTAATGTAAAATTACTAACACTACCTAAATAAACTAAGTCGTCACTTTAACACCCTCCCTCAAACTGATGATGCTTTCGTAACATCAGTTTGTGTTATAAAAACCAGTGACGACTAGTTCCGACTGCCTTTGTCAACAAGTCCGCAGTCTGATCTTCTATTGACAAATAGCTAAGCTGAATTACTCCTTCTTGAACAAGCTGCCGAATATAATGCACATGTGTCTCAATGTGATTTGTCCTGTCATGTAACACTGGATTGTTAGCAATCCTGATCGCACTGGTGTTGTCTCCAAATAACCGCATAGGCATCATGCACACAACTCCCAAATCTTCTAGCAAACGCTGCAACCACACCAATTCAGAGCTGACTTCAGACATGGACCTGTATTCAGCCTCCATGGAGGACTTAGAGACCCGATCTTGCTTCTTACAACGCCAAGAAATAAGAGATCGAACCAAGTAGAACTCACCAACCAGAAGTTGACCGTCGTGTATCAACACATCCAGCAAAGTCAGCATCTGCAAAGGCTTTCAAAGTCGGCTCTCCGTGACTTGGAAAGAAGAGTCCTACATCCTGAGTCCCCTACAAATATCGTAAGATCCGATGAACAGCATCAAGGTGTAGAGTCCTGGCCATACTCATGTACTGACTCACAACCTGAACAGCATAGGCAATATCAGGTCTAGTTGAACTGAGATACCGAAGACTCCCTACTATAGTCCGATAAGTGGTTTGATCATCTAGCATCTCACCACTAGACCTACTCAGTTTTAAGTTCTGTTCCATCGGAGTAGCGCATGGCTTGCAATCATCAAACTGATACTCGACCAACAAGTCTCGTACATACTTCCGCATATCTATAGTGTGATGGAACATGAATCGGCTCAACAGCAAATGAAACAGGATCAACAACAAAGACGATATAATCATTGTGGCGAGGAGGAGGCTGACCTTTGTTCACCCGATCTGACCGACGAGGTCCGGCAGGGGGTGGACTATGAGGCGGCGATGATTGCTGATCACTCCCATCATGCCCATCACTGTCCGAGGAAGAGCTACTATCCGAGGAATGAGAGGAAGACAAGGTATGCAAGGAGGAGGTTGAGCTAGTATGCAAGGAGGAGAAAGAGTTATTATGTGAGGAGGAGCTACTGCTACTTGGGGTGGAGTTACCCACAGAAGAACCCATTTCGCCATCATCCCCTCCCTGCAGCGAGATAGAAGTTGGAGGTCCATCAGGCGATTGGCCACCACGCTCCGACCCCATAGTATCCGCAACGACCAGAGTCTCAAGAAAAGAGAGACTTTGAGCAAATTCTTCCCGAGATGACTCCTGTGTGGAAGAATAGTACATGACGTCCTCCATAAAAATAACATGATATGCTATCCGCAGCCGCTGTCCCTCTGGATAATAGCAAATGTAACCCTTGTGGCGATCACTGTAGCCCACGAACACACACCGAGCAGTCTTAGGCTGAAGTTTATGCCGCTCCTTCTGAGGAAGAAGCACAAAGCATAAGCACCCAAAGACACGTAAGGCACTGTATTCAGGGAGCTTGGAATACAACTTCAGAAATGGGGAGATATTATCCAGTACCGGGGTGATTTGGCGGTTAATGAGATGAACAACTGTGTTAGCAACTTCGACCCAAAATTGTGCAGGAACCCAAGAACGAAACAAAAGTGCACGAGCAAGCTCGAGTACATGGCGATTTTTATGCTCAACCACGCCATTCTGTTGGGACACCCAAGGACAAGACTGCTGGCTGAGAATACCCTGCGAACGATAGAAGGCTAGAAAATCATTTGAACTAAACTCCCCACCTGGGTCCGAACGAATGACCTTAATAGTCTTCTGAAACTGTGTCTGTATCATGCGAATAACGTCTTGGGCAAGAGAAAGAAGCTCAGATTTACGCCGCAAAAAATAAATCCAAGTATATCGGGTATGATGGTCGATAAACAGAGCGAAGTATAGGAAACCATTGCGAGACGGAACATGGGACGGACCCTAGAGGTCAGTATGAATAAGATCAAATGGAGCATCATAAACTGTAGAACTGGAAGCAAAAGTGCGTTGAGTAGCCTTAGCTTCGACACAGCTAATACACGATGGAGGAGTAAAAGAAGCACCACAAAATTTTCCAGGCAACAACCAAAGATTAAACATCTGTAACAAACGAGTAGAATGAGGGTGCGCCAAACGGCAGTGCCAAAGATCCCAAACTGAATTCCGTACATCAGAACTTAAAGAATTCCGAACAGGAACAACTGGAAAAGAAGAAGAATCCACCCTACAACTATCATAGGAAGCAGCTTGCTCAACAACACTTGATACCACATCATGAGACAACCTTCGCCCTTGCTGCCTACTCGAACAAAGAGAGTTCATCACATATAGACGCCCATGTTTATGACCCCGGCCGAGTTCCGTCCCCGTCTTCGAGTCCTGCACCACACACCTATGATTATTAAACTTTATATCACACCCTTCTTCGGCAAGTTGACCAACAGATATTAAATTGGGAACCAATTTAGGAACGTGCAACGCCTTGTTCAAGTGGAGTTTAGACTCCACTACTTGACCCATGCCCGTAATAGGTAAGATAGTCCCATTAGCTACTTGTAATCTTTGAGAAACATGACGCATCGAGGTGAAAGAACCCACACGATTCGTCATATGATTGAAAGCAGCTGAATCGATGAGCCAATGAGTAGAGTTACCTGAGCTATGACCCGTGGAGAAGGCAGACTGCATCACCTCCTGAAGAGCATCATGAATGAGCTTGGTGAGCTCATCCTTAAAAACCCCAGCAGCGGATGACGAGGAGGGATTCGGAGGAGGAGCAGGCCGTACTTCAGCTGTAGCATAGGCAGCATGCGCAGAATTCGGACCAGCAGAACTGGGAGGAAAGCGCCGACCCCTCTTTGGACAATCACTCAAAATATGATCACCCTGACGACAGAAGTTACACCAATTTCGCTTTCGGAAAAACGGTTGAATGTGACCGGGATCCCGATCCCTGAGAGGAGCTATGGCCCGAGCCACTAGCAGCACTAGGAGCTGACGCCGACGACCGGAATTGCGGTTTATAGGGAGCAGCAGCAAACGCAGGTGAATTTTCAAGTGAACGAGCAGCTGTATTATCAATCTGCGCTTGACTCCGGAGCCTAACTTCCTCTCGATACAGCTCAGCGAAAATGGTATCCAGTTCAGTCACATTGCGGTGAAGAAGAGAGGCCCGAATTGGTTCAAACTCGGGGCGAAGTTTCATGAGAAAATGCATCGTACGACCCCGATTACGTTCAGCAATAGTCTCAGCAGGAGTAGGGGCGGATGTAATAGACACCGAAAGTAGGTCAATCTCGGTCCAGAGATGCATAGCTTCTTGATAATAGGAGCGAATATCCATGCTCC